GGGGAAAAATAAATAATTACTGTAAAATGTGAAGCTTTAGAGTAAGAGAGTTCCACTAAGACAGAAGTGTCATGGTAGTGTAGCTGGAGAAAACCCTTGGTGGTACAAGATCTGCAAAGTGTTGTTGAGTCCACATAGAGAGTGGATAGACAGTGACAAAGGCTCCTGCCAACCATATTTGAAGAAGTCCAGGTTGTTGCTATGAACACCGGAATTACCTGTCACCCAGTTCAAAGAACTGCATTCATTTATCCATCCCTTCAATCAACCACATATTGAGCAACTTCAATGAGCTAGACACTGGTCACATGGAAAGTTTTAAAAAGTTAGTGTAATTCCAGCATGTGGGAGGCTGGGAGGACAACTGCCTCAAGTTCCAGAAGGGAGAGAGGGAGATGGGGAGGAAGGAAATGAAAGGAGGGAAGGGAGGGAGGGAGAGAAGAGTGTTCATTCTTGTCTATACCACTCAGTAAATAGGAATTTCTTGAATTTTTGAAACAGTCTTGTTATATATTTCAGGCTTATTTGAACTCCTAGTGATGCTCCCACAAGTATTAGGAATATAGGCATACACCATCCTATATCTTTATTGTTTTTTTATTAAGATAGGGTCTTGCTATGTAGCCCTACATTAGATGCTAAAGACACAACAAATATAAAAATTCTGAGATACCTGAAGGATATCCTAGTCAGTTCCTTCAGGAAAAGAAAGGTCAAGAGACAAATTCCTTGAAAAAAAAAAAAATGTACTCACCCTGCCAAGGTCCTGGAGAAAGGTTTTGACACTGTCAGCCATCTCTTCACAACCCAGACTATCAATTACAGAGAGGAGAGGGAAGTGTCCTAAAATCTCTCATCATGGAGGGCCTGGAAACAGATGGAAGAAAAAGACATGCTAAAAAGTATTACTTCATGATCTGTATTTCTACATGACAACCCCACATTCTTGTAGCTCCATTAAAAGAACAATAGATTTTAGCACTAATACCATGAACTAAGTGAGGCAACACCTGTAACTCATGAAACCTAAAATCCCAAACTTTTTTGAGGCAAAGTCTCAATAGCCCAGGCTAGTCCCATATTTCTAGGCTCAACAGATCTTGCTACCTCAGCTCCCTAGTAACTAGAGAACAGCTAGGACTACAGGGATACATTTAGAGAGCAAATGTGCTCCTGGACAAGTGGTCTCCTCTGAGGCTTGATGTTCCTAAGTATTCCTCCTAAACATTCCAAGTGCTTTTGAGGATTTAGAGATGGGTAATAATGTTTAAATGCCCTCTTAAGAAATTTTTACACTAGGTTTATATCCCCAAACACTTGAAAGAGGACCTAGAGAGAGCTCAGCAGTTAAAAACACTCACTGCTCTTCCAGAGGACCAGAGTTCAATTCCCAGTACCTATGTCAGGCAGTTCACAACCTCCTGTAACTCCAGCTCCAGGGGATCTGATGTCCCCTTCTGGCCTATGAGGGCACCCACATGAACACACATTCAAAAAATAATGGAAGGAGCTAGGCACTGTGGTATAGTGTAATCCTAGTACCCAGGAGGCAGACGCAGAGGCAGAAGGATCACCACAAATTTGAGGCCAGGCTGGTCTACACAGTGGGATCCACATCAGCTAGGGCTACAAAGTAAGAACCTATCTTTCAAAGGAAGGGGAAGAAAAACCCATACACATTTGAGTGAAGATCCAAGAACAATATACAAGTTCTTTAAATTTTGCTGAGTATGCACTTCAATCATGCACAGTCCTCAAATACACAGGGATGTTTAAGACATGATATAAAGCTATCTACCAAGATCTCTAAATAGATCTTTCTATGCTTTGTTAACTTTATTTTTATAACACAGTCCTAGGGATTTGACTGAGGGCTTCACATATGCTAAGCAAGTATTCTATCATGAACTGACAGCCTTAGTCCATTTTCTAATTTAAAATATACATGCATGTATTTTAAAAATCATGCAAGAAACAGTGAATTTTAAACTAGACTAAGGTTGGAGGTATAGTTCAGTGGTAGACTGCATGCTCATATGCATGAGTACCAGATTTAATCCCCAGTCCAAAAAAAGTTCACATGTATAAGTAGTCTTTCAGAAAGTGTTAGTTTGGTATAATACTAGCACTTCGGAGGTGGAAGCCAGAGGATCGGGAGTTTCAAGGCCATTCTCAGCTACGCAGCCGCTTTGAGGCTAGCTATATGGGCCACATGAGACCTGTCTCAAAATAAGACAAAACAAAAGGAATAGTAAGGGTTTCTCATTTTATTTCTCAGGTAAATGAGAAACCTAGCTCAAAAATTAAGAAATTGACAGGGTTGGAAATGTAGTGCTTGCATGGCATGTGCAAGGTCCTGGGTTCAATTCCCAATACCAAAAGAAAATTAAGATAACTGAGACAGGCCTGGTGGTGCAGTCCTCTAATTCCAGTTACTTGGAAGGCTCAGGCAGGACCACAAGTTAAAAGCCAGTCTGAGTAACTTAATGAGCTGTCTCAAAAACTAAACAAAACAAAAAGCTGGGGACATAGTTCAGTGGCAAAGAGCCTATCTATCATGCATGAGACTCTGGGTTCGATCCCTAGTACTGAAAGGGCAAGAGAGTTCATTCTACAAATATACCATTCTCAATTTCTTAAAGTGAATGGAAAATCTACCTGCAGAGATTTAAGAACTTAGGATTTTAAAGTTCTCAAGCCCCACTCAATCAAGCTTAGGATCCTCAGTTTAAGAGACAATGGCCTTTATACAATGTTAATTTCACAGGTAGCACGTATAAAACTCAAACTTCAAAACATAAGAACATTTTGCTTATTAACCTTTGGCCACTCCAGCAAACACCTCATTGACCCAACTAGCCCAATGCCACTCAGAACTGGACCAGCAGGGACACAGCAGCCAGAAGGGTACTGCACACCACCACATGCACTGGTTGCTCCTCAGGTCAAACCACTTCAGGCAGAGAAGCTTCTAGGGTTAAGAAACACTGTTATTACTCCCACTCCCCCTCCTAAAAACAAATACCTCAGAGTTCCAATTGTGCACACATAGGTCTAGGCAGTGTTCTAAGAGTTGTGATGAAAGCAGCCCAAAGCCAGGTGAATAGTAAATGTCCAAAGATGGGCAAGAGACTAGTGTGTAAAGATTATCACAGATCCACCTTCTTAACAAGGTGGATCTTGCTCACCTACAAATGAAAAGAAGTAAAAGTCTTTACAGGGTTTTTGAGTATAGACTACAACAAATAAACAAAATTCTGTATAACTGCAATCCTTCTAAAAAAAACACACCTGCTCTGAAGTGTGAGGAAACTCATTAGTCTAGGTTTCTCCCAAAGCCCCTGGCAGGGACCTTCAAACACGTCTACCCAACCCTAGAACCACTGTTATTTGACTCCTGGTAGATTAATACCTGGTTTCTACATGTACCAACCGGCAGAGTAGCTACTGACCAAATAGGGCCTCTGAAGGACAACCAATTTCAATTTTATACTGAGATCCTAACATCTTTCCTACAGGAACATTTGGTATGATTACTCCGTTTGGTAAACTGCTGAGGCAAGCAGAAAAACAAGCTGCCACAATTTGAGACCACACACTGACTCAATGACAGAGGGCTGGAACAGAGGAGGGAATCAGGACACATCTGGTTCACACCATTTTACAGGTGGAGAAGTTAAATGGCTTGTCCGAAGTCACAGCAAATGAAAGCCAACTACAGAGAACTTCAGCGTTCTAACCTTCGGTCCAGACTTCTTTTTAAACTTTGCAATGCGGATTTTTGTTTAACCCGAGCATCCTATGGACAGATCTTTCGTATACCTTGAAATGCTGCTGGCCACGAAATTCTCGACAGTTCTTAGGGCGTATTAAGTATCTATCTACAGGGGCAGAGTCCGGCACCTTCATTTCCAAGCCATTGACCCAAGTCCCGGAAGGCAGGACGCCTGCGTTGCCCACTCCAGGTACGGAGAAATTAAACCCTCTCTCATCACCCGGCCGCAGACCGCCTCCCCTTCCCGGGCGCACTCGGTGCAGTCTCCTCACAGCTGCTGGGCCGAGGGGCTGAGGAACCGGTCTTCCTCCCCAGCCACAGCCGCGCTTGAGGTGCGGACCGCGCTCACCTCGGGTCACACGGGAGCTAAAGATAGCCGCGCCGCACCTGAGAGGCTGGGCGCCGCCGCCGCCCACGCGGCCGGGCCTGCTCCCGCGGCCGCCCAGGGCCGGGGCCCTCGGA